TTTTACTTTTTTCATTTTATAGTTGATCTATTTCTGGACTCTTCAGAATGCCTATTTTTCATTCATGGTGAACGACTCATCTTTTGTTGAAACCAAATTACCATTTGACCACTGTTATATGAACAAGTCATCACATCCAGGAGTGTACAGTGGAGCAGGATAGGGTAGTGGCTAAGTGCAAAGTATGAGTAGGGTTGGTACTGTAGTTCCAGGTAGATTTTAGCTCTCAGATTTTCCCCTGTTGAAGGAAGAATATTATCCTACCCCCTAAAAAAAAAGCTATTTCAGAATCCCTGGAACCTGTTAGCAAAGGTGAAGTAAGGTGGCCAATCAGCTGAGTTTTACAGAGGAAAATTATCCTGGATTGTCCAATGGACCCAATGTAATCACAGAGTCCCTAAGAGTAGACAGGAAGAAAGAAGACTCAGAAAAAGAGATACTGCAAGGGAAGCAGTGTCAGACAGATGCAACGCTATTGGCGTTGCAATGGAAGGAAGGAAGCGGTGAACCTAGGCGTGCAGGTGGCCTCTAAAAGCTGGAAAAGGCAAGAAAACAGATGAAAGAATGCAGCCCCGATGACACACTGATTTCAGTCCAGTGAGACCCATATCAGACTTCTATCCTACAAAACTGAAAAATAATAAATTTTTGTCATTTAAGCCACAGTTTATGGTAGTCTAATTAACATATACGTAATTATGTGTCCCTACTTAAATTTGGGTTTGTCAAGAAAACAAGTCAGTTTCTGTCACGCAATTATGATTTAGTTACCAGTAAGATGACTTAGCTAATAAAAACTTGCCTTAGCTAAAAAAAATCTTTGCCCAAATGACCAAACCCACACTTTTGGGATTTGCCAGATGAGGTCTGTAATACAGTTACTACACATCATTCAACAAGGCTAAACTTACTAAATATGAGACTCAAGTGCAGGAATAAGATAGTCTATTCCTTCATGGGAAGAACAAGATGAAGCAATAAATAAATGTCTACTGTATTCCAAGTATTAGAAGCTTTAGAAACATCATATTTAATCCTAACAATAAACTTCTGAAACAGATGCCAATTTTAAAGATGAGAAAACTGGGCCCAAAGAAATTAAGTTATTAAATTTCACAGACAATAAGTTTTAAAGCCTGTATTCCAACCTAGGAAGTCTGATTGTGGAGCTTGCGTACTTCACCACCACCCAGTCCTGCTCAGTTGTACACCCTCTGATATGGGGAGCTGTTTATATCGCAGTGGTTGGAAGGCAACATGGTTTTAACAGAAGAAGGGGTCTTTCCCAGTGAATAAACAATAGTCATTCTGAAAAGTACAGATGTAGATCAACTGTTAAATGAGAAAAGCAAAAATGTTTAAAGTTTAAGGAAAATTTCATAGTAATTAAAGAGTTTTTCTAACATTTTTAGTTTCCACATGGCAAGGAAATGCAATTAACAATTTATAAGCAAATCATTTGATTGTCCATACCATTTCCAAATTTAGTGAAACTGCCCATAATAAAAACAGTTATTTCAATTTCACAGATCAGTAGCTTGATGTTAAAAGACAATTGTTTGTAATGTGTACATTATTTTTAAATTTGGATGAGTGGGAAGAAAAATGGGTAAATAATATCACATTTATTGGACAGAAATGAAAATATCAAACATAAAAAATTCAGAACTCATTACAGATTTCTTTTTGTCCAGAAATAAAACTAGCAATAAAGTACTCTAGGTGAAGAAGAAATGGTTCTTGTGCATTACTGCACACACTAGGGTGAATCACACGATAAATCTAGAGAAATGAAGATCATCATATAAAAGTCATGGCCCTGATTTTAAAATCTTCATTCCTTATGTTCAAATGAATTTTGAGATAAATGACACCTGACCATTTCAATTCTAATAATCTATAGGAAGTTCAATTATTCATATGATTTGAAATGTGAAGTAGCTAACTTATGTAGTAACAGGTTAATAATGTTCATGGGAACATACTTTGTAATAATTAAAAATTACCACAAAAAACCCCTATATGTTCATCAATAGAGGAATAGATGAGTAAAATTAAAATATGATTTAGTCATACACTGAAATGTTTAATAATAATGAAAATGTTGAGCTGCAGGTATATGTCTCAGCATGGATAGAGTTTAAAATATGAAATTTTAAAAGTTAGAGAAAGGTTCACACAGTGACATATCTCTTACACAGATTAAAACATGTAAAAGAAAATTCTATTGTTTATGTGTACATATAGATATGAGAAAGTTAATGTACAAAACACCAGACTTTAAAACATATCAAATTCATTAAGGTATTTGTCACAATGAAACAGAGGAAAAATTCCAAAGGAAATGTTTAATTTATTTTATTAAATAACAACTGAAGCAGATATCATAAGGTATTAACCAGTGTTGAGATTAAGGGTATTATAATTTTTAGCACTTAAAATATTTATAAAGTTTTTAAAAAATCAACGATTTAAATATTTTAGGCAAAATGTATTAATAATAAATTTTTCATGAACTTATTTCAATTTATCATAACATCCAAATAATTCACTCTCTCAAAATTTATGACAATCATATAGTTTACTAAAAATAAATTCTGTATAAACTCCTCTGAAGATTTCAAGATATCCAGACAATATTGGACATTCTACAGGATTTAATTTAAGAAAAAAATAGAAAATTTCAAGCTCCTATGAGCTTAAAACTCAGTTTTATTTCATAAATTCTTATTTGCTCAAAGAAAGTGCAATTTCGTCCCCTGTTAGAGAATGTCCCTCAGAAGTCAGTCCTGGCTTTCACTGTAAATGTCCTAATGTACACACTGTATCTGTGGGTTCATAATCACCTGTGCAGTCTGGAATGTAACAATTATACAGCTGACCTGTACAGATTGGGGTGGATGAAACAAATAGAAAGTACTTAGGCACAAAAAGATCCAGAATCTAAAAACCCAGATACACTAAAACCATATACTTATATTTAATTTGCTAGAAACTTAACCAGGAACCAAAGTGTTTTTCATGGCATCTGAGATTAAATGGTTAAAAGTCACTGAGTCCAACTACTCTTCTCTAGTACAAAAAAACAAGTTGAAAGCAAATGATAGGGACTTTAGGGTCTCAGTAATCAGCTGTGCTTCTATCAACAAATTAAGGGTAAGATTACCTGCTCTTAATTATTAGACTGTCACTCCTCCCCACCTCCTAATCTGTTCTGTCTACAACTTTAGTGATCTTTTTAAAGCACAAATCTGGTCAAGTCACTCCTCTGCTTAAAACTCTTCAGCGTCCTTGGTTGCTCTTAGGGTTAGGTTGAAACCCCTTTGCTTGACTCACCAGCTTTGGCTAATGTGACTTCAGTTTCTCCTCATCCTCATTTTAGCCCATTCTTTCTTCTGCTTTAATACTCGAATCAGGGTTTCTTGATCTCAAAGCTAGTCTATTTAATTAATCGTTTACTTGGATATGTCTACCATTTAGTCTGTGGTCTCCTTCAGGAGGACAGAGATCATGTTTATGAGGTTCATTGTTGTAACGTTAGTGTCTATCCTAGTGCTTGGAATACAGTAGCTATTCAACAATTATTTGTTGAGAAAAGGAAAGGAGGGAGGAACACACGGAAGGAGAAAGGAAAAGGGTTATTTGAGAATAAACTAAATGTAAAAATATATTTATAAAACATTCATGGGAATTAGACGATTTAGTGTCAATCACACAAACTATCTACATGGCAGCTCAATATGTCTATCTTTGGCTCCATTTTTGTTTTGTTTTGGGAGAGGAGGAGAGAAGACAAAAGAGAACAAAATGTTTCCATGCTTGCAGTGTTTGAAATGATTCAATCCTTCAGACCTATTGATTAAGGATAATCACAAACTCAATTAATGTGAAAAAGATTATGAAAACTCAGAGACAGCACCCAAATGCACAGACTGTGTGGCTGTGGGGTTTCCTTTATTGGTCCCCTGTAAGCAAAGCCGGCTACAGCTGTGATGACTAAGCTCAGGGCACGCACTCCTCACACAGTTATTTATTCTTCACACATTATTTAGTTGTGCTCTCAAAAGCTTCAAAGTATCAACATTTTATTTTTATAATCAAATTTTGTTACCTTTATATTCAGATTTTCTGCTTGAGGGTTTTTTTTGTAGCCATGCTAATAAAAAATGTCAATAATCACTATTTCTACTTTATGGTTTTATAATAATGTCTAAGTCATCTAAATGATGCCTAATTAAAGAGCTTGTACACAATACTTAGCAGAAAGCCAAAGTCTAACAGGGGTGAGATAGTCATACTGCTTTGTTAGTCTAGAGAAGTCTGCCTTATTAATACTTTTACTCATTAACTCAATAAATATTTATAGAACGCTTATGATGTGCTAAACATTTTTGTAGGTTCTGGGTATATAATGATGAGCCAAACAGACGTGGTCACTCCTCATATGTAACTGGGTGAGATGACATCTACCAGGCACAAAATAAGGATGAGTTCAGCTGTCAAAAATGCCTGGAGCTGTCAAATGAGACCTTTATAATAAATAAAGTTGAAGTTTTACTTTGTACCCAGTGTATGTTTCACTTCAGAGTCCTTATTTATACTCATTATTTAAAAGAAAAAAGAGCAACCACCTTCTCTATCTTATTCTTTTCACTTTCATAAACATTGAGAAACATTTTGAAAATATTAAGATTTCTAGTGCAATGTAGGCCCTTAAATTTGCTCTCCTATATTTTAAACAGGTATACCTCAGAAGCACAGAGACTGTGGGAAATGACAAATCTGTATTTACCTCTCGGTCAAGTCATATTTTCCATGAACTCCCTCAGGATGCAAATAAAACTTTTGTGTCACAGTTGCTACTTTTCAGACTGGGAGAGATCTACTGGTATTTTCTTAGATAATGACAGAATCAACACAAAGAACAAGGTCTTACAAATGACAGGATATTAGCTCAAGGCAGTGCCAAAGACGAGGGGAGGAGACTAGAGAATACTCACTGGTAAGTGGTTGGGCTGACGTTGATGCGCCGAGGGTGACTTCCCGATTCAAATTTGCTTGCCAGAGTGACATTATTTCCAAACAGGCAGTATCGGGGCATTCTTACCCCAACAACTCCAGCCAGCACAGAGCCTGAGTGAATGCCTATCCTCATCTAAAATTAAAACAAAAAAGAAAAAATATATATATTTATGTTTTCATTTAGGGTGCAATTATTTTAATGACAAGTACTGCCAATTATGAGAACCATTCCACTATGAACTCCTCAAAGACCTTGGTCATTTTTGTGAGCCCACTATCTGGATGAACACAGATGCTGTGGAATAAATAAATAAATGGATTCATTATAGGAAAAAACTACATTTAATTTATTACATAAAATAGTTATGTTACAAGTTAAATCAGGTTTCATTTGTACATGATAGTCTCTAGACATGGAAAATGTATTATTCTCCTTCCAGTTGTTATTCTCACGTAAAGCCCTATTTTCCTTCAGAGCATTAAACACAATTATAAATTAAATATTTATATTTCTGTTTATTTTATTTTGGCATTGGATTTTTCCCATGATAGATGGATCCACATCTTTTACCTTACTGCTGAATATTCAACACTTAGTTCTGCACCAAGAGTAAAGTTGGCACTCAATAGTAAGTGATGAGTGTTGAATAAACTGGCTTAAATTCCCCCACATAGAATTAAAATGAAGTTACAAAGAATTCAACCCTTGAGTCTGTCAAGAAGAGTTGATCAAAAACCTGAAGAATAAAGAAGTGCTGTATATTTTACTCTCTGAGAATCTGATAAATATTTGTCTGGTCCATGCCTTGAAGGGGCCCTCAATGTGCAGTTAATACACACTTAAATAAGATTTCAGTAATGAAGTTGAACCCACATGATCTACACCAAGATAACAAAGCTAATGGTGACCAACTGGAAGATGCTATCCGTATTTCTAGGAGAATAGGGGCAACTCTGGGAAAGGGGGAGGATATCAGACACCTAGATGCCTGCTAGGTAGGCAGTGTCAGCCCTTCAACAGCATGTATGCTATTGCTGCTGTAAGTGTGAGGATAAGAAATCATGCTTAGGCTAACCGTTGCCATCAGACTGGTGCCTTTTGAACGTATCCACCAATGCTAAGACAGGTTGAAACCAATGTGATTTAGCTGATGTCCTAATAACCTCTTCATCTTTAAAAACTCATTCTAAAATTTATTTAAAAATTCAATATGCTAGGAAGAGCCAAGATACACTTGAGAAAGAAGAAAAAGTCAAAATATTTGCCCTATGAAATACCAAGTCTTTGTACAAACATACTTAATCAGTACACAGATATCATAATATTGATACATAGAGATATAAACTAATAAAACAAAAGCCCAGAAAGACTTCCATGCTTATATAGGCGATTGATATATTATAGGATTGGCATTTCAGATTAGTGAGAAAAAGATAGCATTTCCATTAGAATATTCTGGATCAACTGTGTCTTCATATGGAAAAAATCCGTGTACATTAAAGATCTTAATGTAGAAGGTACAACTTTACAGCTTTAAAATTAATTGTTTTAATTAAGATAAAGGTCAATGTGCAGTATCAGTTAAACTCTAAAATATAGACACCTATATTTTAAACATCTATAGTTTTAGACTTTTATTAGCCTCTGAGTAACAGTTCCCAGGTGAGTGGTCCAGACTGTCAGGCAGCTAGTTCTGTTCCCCTTGGTCAGTCAGGGACCATGTTCTTATCATTGTGTTCCTCTTCATGTCTTGTCACATATATTTTTCTTCTAAGAAAACCTGAAGCTGGGTCAGGAACATCTTCATGTTCCAGCTCAAGATGTGGTAAGATAGATAGCAGAAGTCAAAGGTATGGGTACTGAAGTTTCCATTGAAGGTGATCTTCATTTTTTTGTTTTTTTTTTAGGTCCATATTTACATCTGGTGTCATTTTTCTTCTGCCTAAAAAACTTTATTTTTTTTAACTGTGGGTCTACTGGTGATGAATTATTTCAGTTCTTGTATGTTTTGAAAAATGTCTTTATTTTGCCTTCATATCTAAAAGATATTTTCACTGATTATAGAATTCTAAGATGACATTCTATAGTGTTCTAAGCATGTTTAAAGTTCGCTAAAGATGACACTTGGATGATAAATTGAAAATGGATTTTAAATTGAAAATGGACTTTCAATTTGTAATATTTTTAACTTACAAAGTATTTATTAGGACATAATCCTACTGTGAGTAAAGAGGCATCTTTACATCTTTTTCTTCTGGCTGCTTTAAATTTTTCTATTTTTTTCTAGTTTTGAAAAATTTAGTTATGATTTCTTTAATGCTGTTTTCTTCATGGTTCTTGTGTTTGAGGTTTGTTCAGTTTTTTGGATCTGTAGGTTTTATAGTTTTCATCATATTGGGAAAAAAATTCAGCCATTTTTCTTCATATATATTTTCTATCCACCCTTCCCTCTCAGAGACACTAATTACATGTTTATTAGGATGCCTGAAGTATTTCCACAGTTCACTGATATTTTCATTTAAAATATTTTTTTCTCTCTGTTTATTTTGGATAATTCCTACTACAATGTTTTCAAATTTACTAATCTTCCCTTTAGTAATGTATAATCTTTTGTTAATCATATCTGGAAAATTTTTCACCTTAGACATTGTGATTTTCTTCTCTAGAAGTTCAATTTGGGATTTCTTTTCATCTTTCAGGTATCAAATTAACTTTTGAACATATGTAGTACAGTTTAAATGATTTTTTAATACTCTTATCTGCTAATTCTAATATGTTTTAGTTATGTATCAGTTTGACTGATTGATTTTTCTCATCATTATGGGTCATATTTTTCAGCTTTCTGCATGCCTTGTAACTTTTGGTTGAAGGTTAGATATCATGAATTTAACTTTGTTGAGTGTTAGATATTTTTATATTTCTTATAAATATCCTTCAGCTTTGTGGTAAGATACAGTCAAGTTACTTAGAACCAGTTTATTCAAGTCCTACTTTTTAAGATGTGTTAGAGAAGTCTTGAGCAGTGTTTCATGTAGGGCTAATTATTCCATACTACTGAGGCAAGAACCCTCTGCATACTGTACCCAATGCCCATGATTTATGAGGTTTTCCAGTCTTTCAGATGGGAACAGGCACTTTTTCCTAACTCCTGTGTGAATGCCAGGAACTTTGTCCTCTGATACTTTCTGAGCACCGCCCACCTCCCCCCAGCCGCCACCAGGGCTCAGGTAGTTTTCTTAAGTGCAAAAAAATAATCAGTACTTTGCAGAACATACAGGAGGCCTCTGAGAAGCTATTTGGTAGTCATAGTGCAACAATTTCCTCACTGGTAACTGTCTGTGACCTCTCATATCCTTAGTCTCCCCAGGCTCTCAGCTCCATCTCTTCAACCCAGGGAGATAATTGGGTGCTTCTTGATTTTCTCCTCCCTGCACCATAGCTTAGCTGTCTCCTAAAGCAGTACGCCAGGGAAAACACATTTCTCATCTTACTTGTTTCCTATCTCTGTCTTCCATCGTTTAGTGTCCACTGTCATGAAAACTGGGGGAGAGGGGGTTTGTATGTTTTGTCCAGATTTTTAATTGTTTAAAGTAGGAGTGTAAATCTAGTCCATTACTCTTCATTGGCTGGGAGCAGAAATGAGAGAGCTTTTCTTTTTTTAAAAGAAAGTCAGCTATCTGAAAAATTTAGCTCTATTTCTGATAAGAGATGGTTTATTTGGACTTAAAGATAAACAAAATGCTGAATGTAAAGCACTTTTCTCTAAAATTAGCATTTTTCAATATTGTTATATTTCTTTGGGCCTCAGTTTGCTTTCAGAAGGCCTATTTTTATTAAATTACCTTGTGCAATACAGGCTTTGCTAAAATCACCAGACCTTGGATACTAAGATTGTCAGTCTGAGCCTATGATCATTATAGTGACTTTTTTTAAGCAGAAAGAGAGCATAAGTAAATATCAGGTTTATAAATTTTATAGCTTCTTTGTTCTGTGTTTTTTGTTTGTTTGTTTGTTTGGCATTGTGGATGATACAGATGAGTGGAAGACTTTATTCTCTTCTGCCAAGTAACTTGAAACCTTACAAAATCAAAAATCTTATTCCTTAAGAAAAAAGTAACATGTGGTCAACAAATATCACCTACAAAATTTTAGATATTGCAATCATTATTTTGCAATTTTACAGAAACTAAAAATAAAACTTGCAAATATATCACTTTCTACTTAGAGATTACTAAATAAAATCAGAAGTTCCTCTATGAGAAAATGGTATTTATTATAATGATGTCCATGCCTAATGTATGATAACTGAATTGCTTCAGGGAAAATTTAGTTCACTTAATGTCTAAAAAGTCCTTTCCCTCAGACTAAAAGCAAATGTATTTGATACATGCTTAAGCAAAAAAACAAAAATTAAAAAATGAGTTTGATTATTAAACAATAATTATTGTTGTTTTTCATAAGCTATAATTTTTTCTTTATATTATAAAAACAAATAGTGTATGCAAGTTTACCTTTGGGAATAAAAGTACAATAACAACAAACTCTTGAGTTACAATGTAAAACTCTTGTCTACACATTAGAATCAACTTGGGGAGTTTAAAAAATTGCAGTTTGGGATCTCACAGAGATTCTAATTTAATGTGTCTAGAATGAGGCAGGGCATTGGGACTGTTAACCCTCTCCAGGGTTTTTAATGTGCACCCAAAGTTGGATAACCAACTACAAGTGTAGAACATTAAGTTTCACAGATATATTTACAAATTGTCCATAATGCAATGGCCAATTGATTTACATAGCTCTACTCTTTCCCAGCAAACAGTTTTAGCCAACCAGCATTGTGTAAATTCCTTCACATGCATAAACATATACATATGTATGTCTATTTTGAGAAAGAAACAATATTCTATCCTGTTCCCAGCAGACACAGTATCCCAGTTTATATCGTGAAGGCATTTTTATTATTAAAAGTAGTAATTTATTTTAAAATCAGTAATTTTATAAGGTATATGGTATATTAGCTGAAATTTCAAAATATATTTTCACATATTTCTCACTGATTTACAAGTTGGGCTTCAATCTCTTTAAAACTGTCTAATAACTATGCTTTTTGAAGACTTTTCAAAGCAACAAAC